AATTTAAAAGTGAACAACTCAGTGGCATTTAGTTCATTCATAGTGTTGTACAACTACTACCTCTAGCCAGTTCCAAACATTTCTATCACTCCAAAGTAAAACCAGTTATCCATTAAGCAGTATCTCCCTGTTCCCCTCTTCTTCCAGCCCCTGATAACCACCAATCTGCATTCTGTCTCAATGGATTTATCCACTCTTACATTTTATATAAAAGGAATCATAAAATGTGTGGCCTTTTGTGTCTGGCTTCTTTCACTTAGCATGTTTTCAGGGTTCCTCTGGGTTGTAGCATGTATCAGTACTTCATTCCTTTTTATGGACAAATAATATACTATTGTATGGATGTACTACATTTTATTTATCCATTCATTGGTTGGTGAACATTTGGAGTGTTTCCATCTTTTATTTTTTTATTTTATTTTTATTTTTTATTTTTTTTGAGACAGAGTCTCACCCTCTTGCCTGGGGCGAGTGCCGTGGCGTCAGCCTAGCTCACAGCAACCTCAAACTCCTGGGCTCAAGCAATCCTACTGTCTCAGCCTCCCGAGTAGCTGGGACCACAGGCATGTGCCACCATGCCCAGCTAATTTTTTCTACATATATTTTTAGCTGTCCAATTAATTTCTTTCCATTTTTTGGTAGAGACGGGGTCTCGCTCTTGCTCAGGCTTGTTTCCATCTTTTGGCTATTGTGAATAGTGCTGCTATGAACATACATATACATGCACCTGTTTGAGTACCTATTTTCAGTTCTTTGGGTAAATACCTAGGAGTATAATTGTGGGGTCATGATAACTTGGTATTTAACTTTTTAGAAACTTCCAAACTGTTTTCCAAAGTGGCTGCACCATTTTACATTCCTACCAGCAATATATGAGGGTTCTAATTTCTCCTCTCCCACATCCTAGCCAACACTTGTTATTTTCCTTTATAGCCATCCTACAAGTACAAGGTGATGTCTCATTGCAGTTTTGATATGCATTTCCCTAAAGACTAATTATGTTGAGCATCTTTTCACTGCTTATTGGCCATTTATATCTCTCCTTTCTTGCATTCTTTTGGATTATTCCATTTTTTTCCTACTATACCAGTTCAGAAGTTAAATTATCTTTTTCTATTATTATTTTAGTGATCTCCCTAGAAATTACCGCATGCATTCTTAACTTAACAAAGTGTCATACTAGTCAATACTTTTGTGTGTGTGTGTGTGAGAGAGAGAGAGACAGAGACAGAGACAAAGAGAAAGAGAGAGAGAGAGAGAGAGAGAGAGAGAGAGACAGGCTCTTGCTTTGTCACCTGGCTGGAACACTAAGGTATGATCATAGCTCACTGCAACCTTGAACTCCTGGGCTCAAGCGGTCCTCCTACCTCAGCCTCCCAAGTAGCTGAGATTACATGTGGGTGCCACCATGCCTAGCTAATTTTTAAATTTTTTATACAGATGGAGTCTCACTATGTTGCCCAGGCTGGTCTTGAAATCCTGACCTAAAGCAATCCTCCTGCCTTAGCCTCCCAAAGTGCTGGGATTACAGGCATAAGTCACAGTGCCCAACCTAATCAATACCTTTATAGGAAGGGCAGAGTTTCCTGAGATGGAAAGAAGAGAGAACATTCCAGGCTAGATGAACAGGGAAAGAGAAGGTGTAGGGCCAAGAAAGAGCTCAGTATATCTAGGAGTGCTACTGGGACTTCATCCTAGAAGTGAAAGGGGAGCCAAAGGAAGTTTTATAGAACAAGGAAGATTTGGGTAAATACTTAGGAGTATAATTGTGGGGTCATGATAACTTGGTGTTTAACTTTTTAGAAACTTCCAAAGTGGCTGCACCATTTTACATTCCTACCAGCAATATATGAGGGTTCCAATTTCTCCTCTCCCACAGTGGAGTCACAGTGGGGCTAGAGCAAGATGACTGAGCCTGGGGTGGGTAGTTTAAAGCCATCCAAGAAGGATGTCTTGGTCATGAAAAAGATCTCTGAGAAGAACATCTCCTCAACCCAGGAAGAACACTGATTTTCCTGAGGTTTCCCAGGAGGCAGGGGCAGAATTTGGCCAGAAGCTGGATGTCTTTAGCAGTGCCTATGTCCCTGCCTCTTTACCTTCCCCAGCCATGCTCACTCTGTCCTCTACCCCTAGGCAGTTGTTCTTCAAAGGCTTTTCTTACAGCGCCTAAATCTCTGCTTGATCTATCTAAATACTGCCCATCTTTGAAAAATCCAATTCAATTAAATCAATCCAAATATTTTTGGAGCTCCTACTATATGCCTGTCCCTGGGCTAAGCTGAAAGTATTAAGAAATGAATGAACCACGTCAGGGTTCCATTCCTAAATGAGCTCCCAGGAAGGTGGAGGAAATGGGCAACAAATTATTTTGCTGCATGGTCGGAATCCTAATAAAGGTGTGATAGAAGGCCATCTAATGCTGCCTATGGAGTGGGGAGGTGGACAGATCATGGGATCTGGAGGAGGGGTATAAGGAAGAAGTTGAGTAAAGCTTTATAGAAGCAGGGAGTGAAACTAGAATATAAAATTTGTGGTTCTGGAGTAGAGTGGACTGCCAGATTATGAAGAATTTTGAATACAAGACTAAGGAATTTGCTCTTGATCCTAAAAGATGTGGGGACTTGCTAAATAATTTCTTTGCAGCAAGGGAGGGACATGGTCAAGAGGTTTAAAAGAAGAGCCAATATGTTTGAGAAGAGCCATTTGCTGTAATCGGGAGGATGAAGAAGAGACAGGATGGCAAGGAGACCAGGGAGGGAGATCTTTTATAGGAAGCTTTCCTTGAAAACCACATCCCACCTTCTCTTCCACTCTTCTGCCTCCCACTTCTATACTGCCCCCATGCTACTGGGGTACAGAACATCCCTGTGAACAAATACTCAATCTCTGGGGGGTATCTGATATGAGTGCATAGACAGAAGGAGTGGAGCAATGATTGTGGCTAAAGCTGGAAAAGGGTGGTAGTGTTTCAGGCACAGGCCTCTCTGGGGTATGTCCAGATACCAGGCAAATCCACCAGGAAGGCAGGAGACACTGGAAGGCCTCAACAGCAGCAGTAGCTACTTGGACAATGGACAAAAGCCAGTTCAGCAAACACTTAGTGCCTACTGAACAAGGGCAAGACTAGATGCTTAGATGCATGTTCAACTTCTTTATCTGTAAAATGGGTTTCATCAAACATACTTCACTAGATTATTAAGAGGATCAAATAAGAGTGTGTACATAAAAGTACTTGGCACATATTAATAGTAAGAACTCATTTTTTTCCTTCTGCTTTTCCTCACATAGATCAAGGTAGGTGAGTCTTTCAAGCTTACAGTGAAATAAACAGATTCTGAGAGGGTCAGTGACAATCAAGGTCAGACAGTTTGGAAAAAGCTCAGTTAGGACAAATTCAGACTGAAGCTTACATGTCTAGTCATAATAACCATCACATATTGTGTACCTTCCACATGCCTGCTATATTACCTTTAATTCTCACAACAACCCTTTGATGTGGATATTCCAAAAACTATTTTATAGATGAGAAAACAGAGGCTCAGAGCTATATATTGCCCAAATAACTGGAGATTTAAAAAATTAATCTAAAGAATTAGATCAGAGCACCTCGAGGTTCCAGTATTGGAGGTGGTCTAGAGGAAGGAAGAGGGAATGGTACTTAGGGCCAAGGGAACTTAGACAAGGAATCAAGATAGGGAGCAAGGGCCAGGAGCAGACACCCCTGGGATGGAGCTAGACAAGAGGATGACATGAAGCCCCAAGGCAGAAAGCCTGACTCTAGCTGCCAAAATTGGAGGGAGGTGGTTCTTTTAGTAAAGTTTTACTAGTCCATTTGCCCTGGGAACTTAAAGAACAGGATGGGGGAGAATTCGAAGTCAAGAAAAGTAGTTTTTAGAATAAGACACCTTCCCTCCAGCGTTGGACGCCCCGCCACCCCCGCCAAGTGAATTCTCTGTATCCTCCACCATTGCTCAGCCTGGGGCCTGTCACAGAGAGGGCCTAGGCCAAGTGAATGAACAAAAGTGGATGCATGAAGAGTTCTGGAAAATTAATCAACAAATGTAAACCCCATTCTGCAAAGTGGCAATTATAGCTATCTTGTGGATTAACAGTCTTTAGTGATTAAGGGAACGACCTCAGGTGCCAAACTTGAATCCTGGTTCTGACATTTACTAGCTGTGTGAGTAGATAACTTAGCTTCTCTGTTTTCCATTGGTAAAATGGGAATATTAATAGTATTTACCTCATAGAATTTTTGTCAGAATTAAATGAGATTACACATAAAAAGTTGAGTACCTGGGACATAGTGGGTGTTCAGAATGTGTTAATTATTACTGTGAAGATTTAAACAGGAAAGATATAGTAACCGTGTCTAGTTCAGAGGTCCTCCACCCCCTGCAGGTGCTCTAAAACCCCCCAGTGTACCTGCAGAGGGATTACTGGTCTCCTAACCCTCTTTCCCTGTTGGGGTAGGATGGTCTTTGCAAAGGGAGCCCATGGTATCCAGATCACGGCACCAAAAAAAAAAGATATATAAAAGGGAGCCAGGTTCTCTCTCAAGTTCCTTTGTGGGTCAGTCAGGGTCAGGGTGGGAAGAAAACCCTAGCAGCTAGTTTCTGGGTGTTAATCCTGTCCGTGTGGGGAGAGACCCAAGGCTGGGGACAGATTCTCTCCCTGTGCTATGACAGGACATAGCGCCCTCTCCTGATCAAAGGCGGGAACAGCAACGGGCCAGAGTTTTCTGGGTTGGGCCTCACCAGATCTCACTACCTGCAAAGGTGCTCTTCTCTTTGCTGAAATGTCCCCAACCGGCTCTGGGGAGCACAACTTAGGGGAGGGGCGCCGAGGCTGAGACGAAACTGGCTTAATGTTTCAGAAGGGCGAGGCTGGATAATCGGTGAGAATGGGGGTAGGGGGTAGGGGGTAGGAGGGACTGGGGTCAGAGAATGAGAGAAATCAGGGCCCTGTTGAATTAATTTTATGTTCTTTCAACAGGTGATGGAACGCAGCTGAGAGGTAAGGTGACAAGGTGACTTATCTAACATGTCAGATCCAGATGTCCAGGGCTCTTCCGGCTGCCCTCGCGCAGCTGAAATTGGTGAGGGAGTCCAGGGCTCGAGAGGCATGGCTTGAGGAGACGCCAGAGTAAGGGGGAGATCCGGAGGTCGGGGTCCCCTGAAGCAGGGAGGAGCCAGCAGAGAAGCCGGGCGCTGTTTCCTCCCTAAGTTCCGCCCCGAGCGCGCCGGGCCCGCCCCTGCCGTTCCCGCTCCGACCCGCCCCCCGGAGCCAGCCCCCGGCCCGGGCCTGGGTTGCCCCCGGGTTCTCCGGCTTCCAGCCTGCGCGGGCGCGGCGTCCCGTCCACCACCGCCTGGGTGAGTATAGGGATAGGTGTGCCAGACCGCCGGGCAACCCCACTCGGGGGAGCTCGGCCACGCGGTCCAGCCTCCGCAGGGCCGGGCCTCAAGCTCTGAGGGTCTTGGTGCCTGCTCTCCTACCGCAAATACTGCGTATCCCAGGAACTGCTGCTGTCTGGACTTGCGGAGCTGACCCCCGTCCCCTCCCCAACATGATGCTGGGTGTGCAGGAGTTGAGCTCTCTTTACTCCGCAGGGCCTCCTGGTCGGGATTCGTCCGAGGTGCTGTGGATGGAGGGCGGGGGGTGGAACCCCATAGACAAGTTTTGAATCCCAGCTCTGCCAGTTATTAGCCTGTGACCTTGAGTAAGTATTTTTAACCTTCCTGAGCTTCAGTTTCCTCCTCTGTAAAATGGAAACATACAGGGTATAGCGCCTAGCTCATAGAATTATAGCGAGGATTAAGAGACAGTGTATGTCTGTGGGGCTCGGTGGCTCACCCCTGTAATCCCAGCACCTTGGGAGGCTGAGGCAGAAGGATGGTTTGAGCCCAGGAGTTCAAGACCAGTCTGGGCAACATAGCGAGACCCTATCTGTACAAAAGAACTTAAAAAAAAAAAAATAGCCAATGGCCGGGCGCGTTGGCTCACGCCTGTAATCCTAGCACTCTGGGAGGCCCAGGCGGGCGGATTGTTTGAGCTCAGGAGTTCAAGACCAGCCTGAGCAAGAGTGAGACCCCCTCTCTACTAAAAATAGAAAGAAATTAATCAGACAACTAAAAATATATACAAAAAAAAAAAATTAGCCGGGTATGGTGGCGCATGCCTGTAGTCCCAGCTACTCGGGAGGCCGAGGCAGAAGGATCGCTTGAGCCCAGGAGTTTGAGGTTGCTGTGAGCTAGGCTGACGGCACTCACTCTAGCCCGGGCAAAAGAGTGAGACTCTGTCTCAAAAAAAAAAAAAAAAAATAACCAAACTTGGCGGTGCGTGCCTATAGTTCTAGCTACTCTGGAGGCTGAGGCAGGAGGTTCGCTTGAGCCCAGGAGTTTGAGGCTGCAGTGAGCTATGATTGCATTACTGCACTCTGGGCAATAGAGCAAGACCCTGTCTTCTGAAAAAAAAAAGAGAGAGACAATGTATATCAAATGTTGAGCAGGGTTCCTAGTACTGCATAGGCACCTAGTAAATGTGGATTTGGACTGGAGGCTGAGAAGATCTCTAGCGACTTTGGAGATGAGATAGGAATACTCCTGGGAAAGCAGTTTTAAGCTAAGTGGTACCAGTGAGAAAGTTAGAGTTGTCTGGGAGCTGAAGAACTGCCCTTTAGGTAATGAGCTCCTGGCCCTAAGGTGTAGAGGAGTGGAATGACCAAGTGGGAGGGGCCTTAGAAATAATCTAAACCACATGATTCCCATGTTGCATAACTGTGGAAACAAGCTCAGAGTGGTTAGATGGCTTGCCCAAGGTCACACAGCTAAAAGGGAGATCAGGCATACCTCTAAGAAGCAGAACAAACTGTCCCTTGAACCTCCTCATCACCTCCAGCCTTGGGTAGTGCCTGTTCATTCCCTAAAGATCTGGTCTTCAATGTGGGAATTCCAGTGGTTCCTGAGGGATCTGGGGCAGCAGGCTTCAGGGGGACTAGTGCTACTGCAACTGAAGAGTCTGGGTTTGAGCTGAGTGGGGAAGGAGCTCCCCATCTAGGGCCCTAAGGGACTTATAATTCATCTAAGGATAACCCAGGGAATGTGTTTGATCTGGGAGGCTCACCACAGCCACTACCAACTCACCAGGGATATCCCTGATTTCCCTGCTCCCAAAAGGGAGAGAGGAACTTGAGCAGTTGGGGCAGGGGCCTGTGGGCTTGCAGAGGCAGGTGGGGAAAGACAGATAAGAATGCAGAGGTGTACCACTTGGCTTGCTCTGGAATGAAGGTGGGACTGGAAAGGAGAGTCATGAGGGTGGGGCCCTGAAGAGTTGGGACTTGATTTAACTAGGCTTTTGAGCCCAGCAGAGCAGGTTGTTTACTGGGAGCCAGCACTAGCTGGGAAACAAGAAGCCTAAATTCCAGGGATGGCTTTCCCTCGGACTCAGTATATAGCTTTGAGGAAGGGCCTTTCTCTCTCTCTGCATCTTGGTTTCTCTATCTTTTCAGTGGGAACAGGGCTAACTGGCTCATCTATGTAGGATTTGGTTTTTCCTTTTCTTCTTCCTATGGGCAGGTACCCGTTCTCCCTCCCTCACTCCATTCCTAACCTGACCTTTCTGCCCAGAGCTCTGACGCAGAGAGGAAAGGGTCAAGAAAGGCCAGAGTTGCAGACTGTAAGTCCTCGTGGGCCCCACATCTTCCTACTGCTGGCTTTTCCATCTAGTTGCTATATGACCCTGAGCAGATTCCTGCTTTAACTTCCCTGTGGGGTTGGTGTATACTTAGCTATTACAGTTCCTGTCCTTAGTGACCCTTGTCTGGAGGGGAAATCACAGTGCTCAGGAGCCCTTACCTATTCACAGGAAGGTGGTGGATAGGCCCCTGGGCACTTGGAAGCCTCCAGAAGCTGACCAAGCAGGTCTCTCCAGCAAACAGCAAGCCCAGGCTAGCGCCAGGCCTGATTCTGCAAAGCCTTTCACCCTCAGAGCACGTGAGGCAGCAGGCGGGGACAAGCAGCGGGTCAAAGTTCTGTTGGCTTCCATGGAGTCCCTGCTCTGTGACTGCGGTGCAGGCACACGGAGCACACAGAACCTGGCAAGGGACTGAAGGTGCAGGTGGGCCTTAGGCCAGTGGGTGAAGCAGTGAGAGCTGATGAGAGGCCTGGAAGATTGGAGGCTGGGCCTGAGGCTCAAAGGCTCGGGGGAGGAGATGGTCCACCGGTAGGTTTTAGGATTGGTTCTTAAAACAAAGAGAGACTAGTTAAGCCAGGTCCTGTAGTCTTAAGGCCTGTCAGGCCAGGCAGAAGGGTGAGGAGAAGGTCTCCCAATCTATTCAAGCTTCATCCTAGCACAGATTTGGCTCATTGTCTTCTCTCCGAAATTGAGGTGGAATGTTGTCTTGGGATTCTGAGTCAGTCTTCCTCACCCAGGGCAGGAGCTATCCAAGTTTAGGTGAGTTCTTTCTCAGACTCCCTACCCCACAGTGTAGCTAAGTTTAGGGCTGAGCACAAGGGCTGACTTCACCACTGAGTCCTAGCCATACTGCCTGAGGCCCTGACAGCATGCCACTCCATCCCTAGGTCTGACAAGATGTACCAGGTTCCACTGCCGCTGGACCGGGATGGGACCCTGGTCCGGCTCCGCTTCACCCTGGTGGCTCTGGTCACGGTCGGCTGTCCATTTGTCGCCTTCCTCTTCTGCATCCTCTGGTCCCTGCTCTTCCACTTCAAGGAGACAACGGCCACACACTGTGGGGTAGGGCTTGGGGGGCACTGATACCTTATATTCAGGTCCATCTGGATCTTCTTTGGCTCCTGAATCTGTTTTAACAGGATTAGCCAGCTCTCCAGTGGGGACCATCAAACATACAGGGCTCCTGGGGGATTGCCTGCAAATTGATGCCTCAAGGATTAGTTTCTTTCCACCTTCCATGAAGGTTCTAGGGGATGGAGTCAATGAAGTGAGCAGCTCCATAGCCCACGACCCAATCCTGACTTGATAAAGGAGCAGATTCTGGAGCCCCAGGGTTTTCTTGGGGGTAGAGAGAGAACAGGATTGGGCTAGGTGCGGCAGGGTGGGCTTATGCCTGTCTCTATGGGAATGTGATTTTGTATATATGTGTGTATGTGATTGTTAGGGACATGACTGTGTATGATGGTTTTGAGTGGGGTATGTGCATGAGCAAGACTATCTCTGTGCCTGTCTGTATGGAGGCCTGATGATGTGTGTGTATATGTGTTGTGGGGTAGGTCCCATACCCCTTGAGGTTCCATAGATGACTGACTGTGTACCTCCTGGACAGAGATATGGGGTGCTGGGCCAGGAAGAAAGATGTGAGAGGCCAGGCGCGGTGGCTCACGCCTGTAATCCTAGCTCTCTGGGAGGCCGAGGCGGGCGGATTGTTTGAGCTGAGGAGTTCGAGACCAGCCTGAGCAAGAGCGAGACCCTGTCTCTACTAAAAATAGAAAGAAATTAATCGGACAACTAAACCTATATAGAAAAAATTAGCCGGGCATGGTGGCGCATGCCTGTAGTCCCAGCTACCCGGGAGGCTGAGGCAGAAAGATTGCTTAAGCCCAGGAGTTTGAGGTTGCTGTGAGCTAGGTTGATGCCATGGCACTCTAGCCCCGGCAAAAGAGTGAGACTCTGTCTCAGAAAAAAAAAAAAGAAAAGAAAAAGAAAGATGTGAGAGTTCTTTCTCTGTAGGATATGGGAGTAAATGGGCTAGACTTGTGTTGACATCCACTGACTCTGTATTACCTGAGACACAGAGACTAAGCCTTGGTTTCCCCGTGTCTAAAATAGAGTTAATAATCCTGTCCTGCTCCTCCTTCTCAGGGCTAGTATAGAGCTCTAGGAAATGTGGGATGATGGTCTGGGCAGTGTGAAGGGTGAGGAGCAGAAGGAAGAGGGGGAAGAAGAGATTTTCAGATTGGAGGGCAGGCAGGCGATGAAGTTAGCCTAGGGGCTGTAGGTGTGGAAGAGGCAGGGCCTGGACATGGGCCCTTGGGCTAGCCTTGGAGAGAGCTCTGAAGGCCCCCAGCCAGCTGGATCCCCCCTTCCTATAAAGAGCACCTGCTCCAGAGAAAGGGCTAGGACTAGCAGTGGGGTCTGGCTCAGAGTAAGGGGTGGAGGCCCACTTCTTTTGTTCATATGACTTGAAATTTCCCTTCTTCCTGATGTGTCAGTCGGTAGACGTGGGCCTTGAGATGTGGGTACACAGTCTGATGAGACCTACAGCTGAGAACTATCAGAGGAACAGGACTGGAAGAAAAGGGAGTGACCAGTTTATCGGAGGGGGACTATCACCCTTTCCTGACATAGTGCTTAACCTCAGATAAGGCGTTAGATCTTCCTGTTACCCTGGCCAACTCTCATTCATCCTACAAAACCCTGCCCAGGTGTCTCCTCCTCTGACAAGCCTTCCCTAGTCTCCTTGGAGCAAACTTAATCACTCCCTCCTGTGGATGCCAACAGTTCCTGTGTTGTCTCTCATACAGCTCTATCGTATCACATTTGTGTCTGTCTTACCTACCAGACCAGGATCTCCTTGAGGGTAGACACTGCATCTGAGTTAGAAAGTATTTTTTGAATAAATGAATAGAATTCCCTAGCCCAGTGCCCTGGGGAAAGGAAGGCATGGTATAAGGCATTCATAGTCCAAACAAAATTTATTTGTTCAGCATGTGGAGTTAAACAGACTAGGCTGTTTGCTCTGCCCCTTGTGGCTGCCCTGGAGGGCTAATGGGACCAATAACCTCAGCATACCTTGCACAACTATTATCCATTCTTGGCATACCACTTAGGGAACTAATGCATAGGTAGTTGCTGGAGGGGTACCTGGCCCCTCCGGAGCATAATAGGCCTAGTGACCATGGGGGTATTTTGTCCCCACTCCTTGGGACTACCCTGTTGGATCCACCAGGCTAGGATTTGAATTCCCACCCAGAGTATTCCAGGAATGGCCAACTCCAGGAATAAAAGAAGCAACCTAGTTCAATATATCTATATTTATGACTTTGCCTCTGCTTGCACATCCCCAGTGATGAAGAGCTTCCTTTTGCCCTAGATAGTCTATTCTAAGGAATCTTAATAACTAACAATTAGCAAGTTCTTTCTTTTAGTGAGCATATACTTTCTTTCTGGTGAATCTCTGCCCTGGCCCTGGCACTGCTTTGGTAGCCATAGAGCTACTCTTTCCTCCTGGCTTCAGATCAGCCCTGCAGAGACAAGAAAGCAGTAATGAGGTCCCTGAATCTGTCTTCTTAGGTAGCATAGCTCCAGTTCCTTCAGGCAACGCTCCCAGGACATGATCTCCAGGCTCCTGCCTACCCTGAATATGCCCTTGGACTTGGCCCAGTTAGTCGCTTTCTCTCTATCCTGGGCCTTGATCTGGGCATAGGACTCCAGGCGGCCTGGGCAGTACAGGCAAAAATGGGACTGTTCATTTCTATTACTCACTGGAGACTTCTGCTGATGCAGCCTGAGCTGCCGTTAGCTGTTTCTGCATGGGTACAGGCTAGATACTGATATCTCATATTCAGGACTGTCAGATCTCTTTTGGATCCTGATTCTATTATCATAGTATTAGCCAGTTCGCCAAGGAGGCCCAACAAACGTACTCAGTCCTGCTTTAACAAAAAAGGCCCGGATCCCATTCTGCTTTCTCTTCATTCCTAGAAACCTAACTATATCCCTGGACACAACCCTGAGAAAGGCCCCCACCCCCATCCCTGGCAAGGAAGCTGCTGTGGGCTGACCTTAGCCGCTATCACTTCTTAACTTAGCAGAGTGTTCCAGGATTTATAATGTGGCCTTGTTGATCCAGGGAAGGCTGTGTGCTTGGGCAGGCATGGAGAATTGGGCACTGTGGGCGGGAGGGCAGGCCCTGAGGACCTAGGGGTGGGACCCTCTAATCTTAACACAGTCTCAGTCCAGCAAGAGCCCTCACTCAACCCAAGTCCCGGATTCTGCAGCACCTAGTGTGAGTGTTTCTTAGTGAGCCCCCAACCCATCCCTGATGCCGAGCTAGACTAGTAGACTGGGATCTCCTTAATGTAGGGGAATATGAGTCCCAGGGGGAGATTTGGTCCTAGGCCTTTTAATACTAAGCTATCTCTGTCTGCCCCCTTCTTGCCACAGAAGGGAGCCCAGCTTAAGGGGTCATGGTAGTTGGGGCAGTATGGGTTGGGAGGGAGTGCCTTGCTAGCAGGGAGAAAGAAGTAGAAGCAGCTCAGCTCTGCCCTGGTTGGGGCTAGGTCTGGCCTGGACAGAGGCTTCCTGGGTCTGGCCCAGGACAGCAGGCTCAAGTTGTGGAGAAAGTTCCCATGACCCTCAGATTCCCCCAAACCTTGGATTGGGTGACATTGGGTCCCCTCAGAGGGGAAGGAAATGGGTATCTGGGCCTCCACAGGGACCCTGATATTTTGGGATCAGGCTTCTATTGGCCTGAGGCTTAGATCATTCAGTGCCTGGGGGTGGGATGGCTGGCAGCCTGTGGCCTCACTGAAATGGGTTCCAGGGCACTCCTACTGTTCCTAGTTGAAGTTGGGTAAGGAGCAGGAATGTGGTCAGACAGGGTCAGTGGGAGGGCTTTAGCCAGTCTAAGCCAAGGATCCTTTGTCTAGGTGAAGGAAACCTTGACTTAAGTTGTCAGGTGACAAGAAGCCTTCATCCTGGTGTTTGAGTTCTGGGCCTCAGTTTCCCCTTCTGTGGAATGGAAATAATAACATTTCCATCATTGATCCTTCTCTCGAGTTGCTGTGAGGGTTGTGAGAGAGAGATGGGCCATCAGAGCTCCTGTGTCCAGGCCACTGGGGACCTCTATTCTCCAGGCTCTTCAGGAGGTGGACCTAGAATATCAGTATGCCAAGGGGATTCCTAAGACCTGACCCTGCCTGTCTCTGCTGCTTCTCCTTCTCTGTACTGTCTTCCTTTTTCCCTTGTGCCCTTTCTACCCTTTCTGTTCTGGCTCTTTCTTATACTCTGAAGAGCCAGCTCTGGAAAAGGCCCCACTTTCCCATGTCCAGGTATCCTATCAGGCCGCAAGTGTGTCCCTTGCCCTGCTTGAACCACTTCCTACAGGATGTTCTCTGCGGCCTCCCAGCCCTTGGACCCCGATGGGACTGTATTCCGGCTCCGCTTCACGGCCATGGTCTGGTGGGTCATCAGTTTCCCTGTATTCGGCTTCTTCTTCTGCATCATCTGGTCCCTGGTGTTCCACTTTGAGTACACGGTGGCCACTGACTGTGGGGTGAGTGCCAGGCTTCCCAGCCCCTGGGTCAGGCCTAGGTCAGGAGATGGCAGTAAGGGTGGAATCAGAGAGTGGAGAGAAGGTGGAAGGTGAGAGAGAGGGGAAGGGACAAAAGGGGAGGGAGGGGCAAGTCAGAGTTAGGGAGAATATAGGGAGGAGAGATGCAGAGAAAGTAGAATCACAGTCCTCTAGGAGTTGGAAGAGGATTATAAAAAGTACAAGGAGCAGGGGAAGGGAGTGATGGGGGAAGGCAAAGGGTTGGGAATGGGCAGGAGAGATCATGAAAGGGAGAGGAGGCTGAAGAAAGACCAGTTTGAAAAGGAAGCCAGGACTGAGGAGGTAAGATGAGGCCAGGAGACAGGAGATACAGCAGGTGGCTTTAGCCCAGACGAGGTAACTGACTGTAGAGGATCCTCAGCCCTGATCTGGGGTCCTCAAGCTTTGTTTTTCTCACTGGCAGCCCCAGGCCCCACAACCTGTGTCCACTCAGGCTTCTGCCAGCCAGAATCATGGATGGACTTCTTGCCTCCCAGATCAGTCCTGAAGGCCCAGGGGTAGAGGTTCTGTGTCAGGGGCATGGAATTGAACATGGACTTGCCCTTAGCATCTTGTTCCTGCCAGAGTCAGTCCTTAGACACAGACAGTCACGACATAGTGAGTTGGGATTCCTGTTGTGATTAAAGGGAGTACAGGGACTGTAGGGCTCAGAGGAGGTACTTAACCAGCTTGGACATTGGAGAAGACTTTCATTCTGGAGGAGGGGGCATTGTTGCTCTGAGAGTGAAGAAGGATCTTTGTGAATGCCAGGCTCATGACTTTGTATTTTATCCAGAGGGCAGTAGGGAGCTTTGGAAAGATTTCAAGCAGGAAAGGGACAGGATCAGATTTGTGCTTTAGAAGATCATTCTGGCTCCTGAATGGAGAACAGATTTAAGGATAGGGGCAAGAGTAGGGAGACCAGCGAGGAGGCTAATGCAATAGCTCATGCTGCTAGGGAATCCAGAGCTAAGATGGGGACTGTGAGGATAGAGAGGAGGGGATGGAATCTAGAGAGGAGTAGCAAGTAGGATTGATAGGAGTTGAAGTTTTTGTCCAGTTGGCAAGGGGTGGGGGGCAGTAAGGTAGATAAAGAAGTTATTTATAATTTGGAGGGACTTTTACCTGAGGCCAAATGATTTACCTAATGGTGAAATATGAGGTGCTATGGTAGGGGATTTTTTGGAACTCTCCCCTTATACCATGTGAGTTTCTGACCTACTACCCTATCAGAAAGGGATCACCTACCCATCTCTCAGTCCTCTTAGCTCTGGGCTCATGGGAAAGTTTGGGGTGAGCTGTGTGCCTGGTCTCTGATAGTTCCTGATGTTGCTTGCTGCTGGCACAGTTGTTGGGTGGGGAACTTGTGTGCTTGGGATGGGGCTGAGGGTAGGGGTATATGTACCTGATTTTGTGTGTGTGTGTGTACACATGATGGAAGAAACAGTCCCTGCTCTTAGAATCCTGCCTCTGCCCATAATCTGAGAGGAGCTCGTGAAGACAGATCCAACAGCCTGTCTCTCTCTTCCTCCTGAGGCCTCTGCCAAACTCTCTATCATCTCTGCCTGATACCTGTTGCCAACATTGGTGAGACTTCAGGGCCTTTGAATGCTTTGGGCTCTCCCAGTCAAGCTTTAGATGCTGGTCCTGTTCCCCTTAAAGTAGCTGAGATTGGGGAGGAGTTTTCAAAATGATTATTTCAGGATGTGGAGGCAACACTGTCACTAACCTAACTCAAGGGAACAGAGAGGCAGGAAAATCAAGTAAGGAGACTTGATCTTAGAAGAGTGTGGTGAAGATAAACTTCCTACTTCTCACCTATAAGCAGGCCTTCCCATGCTAGATGGCCATGTAGCTCACAGCCTGTTTGCAGGCTTTTCAGGGAAGTTTGTCTTTTGAAAGCCATCACTTACTGTACCCACTGCGTGCGAGATACTGCAGATGCTTTACTGCATTATATTTAGAGTTCATAATCACCCTGCAAGGTAGTTTTATCCCCATTTTACCAGTAAGGAAGTTGAAGCTCAGAGAGGTAAAGTGACTTGCTGAAGGTCACCCAGCTAATAAAGGCAGAGCTGGAATGCAGACCCGACTTTATGCAGCTCCAAAGCCTCCCTGGTGCTTCTTCACTGATTACTCAGAGTGAATATCTGAGTCTGATTTCAAGCTATGGCCTTGAGAGCAGCATCTTTTCTCTAAGAGCTCGGTACTTAGCCTCCTCTGATAGTGCTGAGGAGAATCCATCTCCTTTTTTGTGGAGGCTGTGAAGCCCCTGGCTGGTCCTGCCCCTACCCTTGCCCTGTGAGCTGCCTCCAGCATTGCTCACCTTTCCAGCAGTCTGGAGACCCATTCAGCATTTTTACTGGAAGAAACGAAGGAATCTTTCAGAACTCTGTCTCTGCAGACTGGTCCCTCCATAGTTAGAGCAGGTCATTCCCTTGCTAGGTCACTGGGCTATGGCAGTGTCCTGACCTTGTTAAAGGGTCTAAAAAAGTCCATGGAAAGTGTAGGCAATGGACTGGTACCTTCTACAGTCTTGGAATCTTTTAAAAATGCAGATTCTCACTTTCCAGACCTGCATTTTCACAACCCCCCAGTGAGTTGTAAGCGCTATTAAAGCTTGTGAAGCTCCGTTCTAGGCCCTAGAGTCTAAGAGATCCTCCTCCTGTCCCTGGCTTTCCTGTCTCCTTCTAAACTACTGTTCATTCATCCCTCATCTTCTCACCTCTCATACAAGCAACACACCAGTCTTTGCAGCCCTGTAAGTATCATCTCTTCTTTCTTTCTGCACCTTAAGCAGTGAGGCTTTAATTCCTTAAGGCTGTGGTCCCCAACCTCCAGGACATGGCCTGGTACAGTCAGTGAGCTGTTAGGAACCAGGCTGCGCATCACCGCCTGAGCTCTGCCTCACTGCTCCCACCCAGGGCACCCCCCCATCCCTGGAAAAATTGTCTTCCATGAAAGTGGCCCCTGGTGCCAAAAAGGGTGGTGACTGCTGCCTTAAGGAACGAGGAATTCCAGGCATTGAGAAAGATGGATGGAGGAGATACAAAAGAGAAGGGTCATTTTCTTAGATTATATCAGGTTAGGAGCAACTGCTTTCTTAAACATCATCAGGGTAGGGGTACCCTTCTGGCTGAGCTCCCCAGGATTTCACAGCATCCTCTACCACTTTGGTACACCTGCCCAGAGGAATGAATGGAGCTGGGAGCAGTCAGAGGAACATCTTAGCTGGGCAGTGAATTCAGCACTGTTCCAAGGAAGCTTAGATGGTCTCTAACTCATCCCTGTCTTCAGGTCTGAATCTGGGGTCCTGGACTCCTGGAACTCAAGCAGGGTCTTATGCGAGGCACAGCTTTGAGCTATGGGCATAGGGAGCATGTGAACCCATCTATACACTGCCCAGATACGTGCAGGTTTAGTGTGGGGGGAGATGGAGAAGGTCACAAATCCCAGGCTGGCTGGGGAATGAGAACCCAGCACGTTGGGACTGGGACCTGACCTGGAAGGAGAGGTCTAGGGGAGCTGTGGGGGAACCTAAAGGACTTACTGGAGGGGAAGGCGCTGGAACAGAGCCTTCTGAAGGCAGGGGTGATTTTGACAGATGGAGAGAAGGCTCTCCAGGTGGGCGGGGCCAGCGGAGGCAGACACCCAGACAGGTCACAACCCTCCAGGTACCCAATTACCTGCCCTCGGTGAGCTCGGCCATCGGCGGGGAGGTGCCCCAGCGCTACGTGTGGCGTTTCTGCATTGGCCTGCACTCGGCGCCTCGCTTCTTGGTGGCCTTCGCCTACTGGAATCACTACCTCAGCTGTGCCTCACCATGTCCCTGCTACCGCCCACTTTGCCGCCTCAACTTCGGCCTCAACGTTGTGGAGAACCTCGCGCTGCTAGTGCTCACCTATGTCTCTTCCTCAGAGGACTTCAGTGGGTGCTCGGAGGAGGGAGGAGTGGGGAAGGGCTCAGGGAGGGGACATGCCCCGCCCCTTCCCAAACTTCCCGCGTAGGGGTGTGGGCACTCCCTGCCATGGGGTGCGCACTCCCAATCCTCCTTTCCCTCCAGCCGTCCACGAAAATGCTTTCATTGTGTTCATTGGCTCATCCCTGGGGCACATGCTCCTCACCTGCATTCTCTGGCGGCTGACCAAGAAGCACACAGTAAGTCAGGAGGTACGGTCTACCCCTAGTAGGGCTCCAGACGGCCCACAAGAAAATCAGAGATATCTGTCCTCAGGATGCGGGTAATGGTGAGGCGGGAACTGGAGTTCTAATGGGAACCCTGGCAGAGGGGTGCTGGGGTTGGGGCTGGGCCTTGGGGACAAGTGTAAAGAGATTGGTCAGAATCTAGGACTGTGTTTGGGTCCTAGCGTGGGAGAATAGAAGAGATGGAGGTTCCAAATGGGGGTAAAAAGGGGCAGCACCCGGGCTGCAGTGGATTAGGAACAGTGTCAGGGATTGTGGTCTGTAATACTTCCAGTGCCCCACCCACATGCAGGCCTTTCTTTTCCCTACAGTTTCTGGAGATGTAGGGATGGTGGGTGGCTCCAGGTAACTGTCCTCCATCCTCCTGAAGTGGGAATGGCAGGGATAGCACTGCTCTTTGGCCTCATCACTCCCCCAAATGCAGGAATGTGAACTTGTTCATCACTCCTGCTGCCCCTGCCTGTGCCCCCTTCCATGACCACTAGGGGGAACAAAGAGAGGTAAGGCCCAGCCGTTAGGAGCTGGGGCTAAAAGGGGAGGCTTTTACATAGCCGACAAGCTGCAAAGCTGCAGAAAGATGAGACAGCCTGTCCTCCTAGGATCGAAAGTCCTACAGCTGGAAACAGCGGCTCTTCATCATCAACTTCATCTCCTTCTTCTCGGCGCTGGCTGTCTACTTTCGGCACAACATGTATTGTGAGGCTGGAGGTGAGGCCAGGACAGGATCCATAGGTGGTCATAAGTGGATATGGGGCAGTTGCCATTGTTTTCCCTGTGGTGGACTAGTGGTGTGGTGATTTATCAAGAGGCCCCTGAGGAGGGGTAACGGGAGCTTCACTATGCCCTGTTCCTTGTGTCCTCACAACAGTGTACACCATCTTTGCCATCCTGGAGTACACAGTGGTCCTAACCAACATGGCGTTCCACCTGACGGCCTGGTGGGACTTCGGGAACAAGGAGCTGCTCATAACCTCTCAGCCTGAGGAAAAGCGATTCTAAACCCTTCTGTTCTGCTCGGGAGGAGGCAGTCCACTGCCCAGAAAAAAGAAATAAGAAACCACTCTGGCCTTCCCCACCCCATGTCCTCTCTGGGCCCTACTGAAGATGGGGGAGGGAGAAGAAGGAATGGCCTAGGCCAAGGCTGACCCCAGGGCTGCTGGCTGTTCCTTCTCCCCCTCATATGGGCACAAGGGCCCTCAAGCAACATCACCCTTACCTGAGAGGCCTCAAGAAGCTGAGCTGGCAAGAGAGCTCCACCATTTGGTGCTAAAAAAAGCTGTGAGGTTCATGACCACTATCTAGTTCTTGGCTCTTACATAGCCACCTTTTGCTGAGGTCAGGAACCACTGAGCAGTGGCTGCTACCCGAATACTGCAGGCATTTCTCTCCACGGGGTCATTCACTTGACTAATGTATCTAATGATCTACTGTGCACATGCAGGCCTGTGGTCACGGTCCCCTGATGAAGTTGCCCAGGTGTTCTGGTCCTGACTTCACCTCTTTGATTTGGTATATGCCCTAGGGTGTGCACACTTCCCTATCTGAGCCTCAGTGTGTCCATGTGTATGATGGGGGGTGGGTATGCTGTATGATTTCCAAAGGCTCTGCCAATTGTGGTTTTGACATCATCCGATGGAGGTGGTGTTCTGTACCTAAAGGATGACCTATTCCAGAAAAGTACCAGCACAGCATTTACTTCCCTTCTGAAATTTCTGGCATACAGACCCTCCCTCCTCTGCAAAAGTATGAGGTGGAAAGGTCAGAGGCACAGATCCCTAACCCAAAATGGGCTCCCTGGTATTCCTCCATCTTCCCTACTACCCCAGATCCTGAGCTCTTTTGGCTGTACATTTTATTTTAAAGGAAAATAAATTTTTTTTTTTTTTTTTTTTGCCAACAGTCTGGGCAAGACTTACTGCTCTTGGGGCTCATCTTGTTTTGACAGGAACTGAGAGAGGAATGGGCTCCAGCATGGAGGGAATAAGTCCATGGCAGGGTATGATTCTAAGTGGCAGCCCCTCAACCCCTCCTGAGTCCTGGAGTTTCCTAAGGCTGACCAAAGCCTTCATTTTGATAAACAGGAGTAACTGAGCTATCCTTATAATGACTCCAAGCCTGGAAGCTGGGATACCTGCAAGTCTTCAGTTGAGGCAGAGGTCTGGGTTCCAGCTAGTACTCTTGTCAACAAAGACCTGTCCCCTTGGGGGTGTCAGGGTACAGCTCTCAGATGCATGGCTGAGGGTACCTGCCTTCAAACTGATGATTCTCAACCTCTCCCTTCCTGAGCCCTAGATGAAGTCTTTCCTCAAGCTTTGTGTCCTAGTGCAGTACAGCATCTGCAACTGGGCCACAGGGCAAGACTGGCCCAAGGGAGCCCAGAGCTTTGTTAGGGAAATTGGGGGGTGGTTGGGGGACCACAATGAAGTCTATTGTCTCCTGTCCCCTATTAGAGGAAACAAAAGGCTCCCAGTCTCTAGGAAGCCCTAGCCCATGCCCACCCCCTAATGCCCAGCACACAGGGAGGAGCCGGGGCCACTGGAGACAGGAGGTTTTATTGATGCTGATGGGGGTAGGAAAGGCCCCCAGGAACATGGGGGCTGAGTCGGTCAGCGGATGCATACGGCCTGGGCACATGGGAGCAGGTTAGGGCACATTCGTCTTCTCAGGATTCTGTAGCTCCTTCCTTGGGGAAGGAAGAGAGCCTCTTGGGAGCACAATTCCATGAGCAGCGAGAGCAGAGGTTAGAGATGGCTGAGAGCCCTTAACCTGAGAGGAGGCACCACAGTAGGCAGCAACAACTGTGTGGAAAGCTGGATGAACTGGTCAGTAGCAGAAAATGGGGAGGGGGGCACTGGGTTGGACTCTTGGGGAAGGGTCCAACTTTGGCTTGGGTGTACTCATGAGAATACCTGATGTTCCCAAGCAGAGGAGGGTAGGGCCCAAAGCCCTTTCTCTGCAGGCCTCCCCAAGGAGAAAAAGGCATTCAGGGAGCCCCCTGGAAAGGGGTGCCAGAATTAGTCCTTAAGGCACAGCTGAGGGCAGACAAGGCGCCAAGGCACAACTGGTGGGGAGAGGGCAGGGGCAGCCTCCGAGCTGAGTGCCAGGGTCACAAGAGGACACAGGACCGCCCACGCTTGACTGGCGTGGGGTTGAGCACAGCCCGGACAGCCTCAGCGAACACCTCCTTGACGCCGTCCTGCTGCAAGGCTGAGCACTCGAGGTAGCGCACAGCGTGGATCTGCTTGGCCAGTGCTTGGCCCTGCTGCGGTGTGATGGGTGCCTGGCCCTGCTCCTTGAGGCGCCGTAGGGTGTCAGGCTGGGCTCTCAGGTCCTTCTTGGTGCCCACCAGGAGGATGGGCACATCAGGGCAGTGGTGGCACACCTCTGGATGCCACTTATGCCGCACATTCTCGTAGGAGGGCGGACTGGCAATGGAGAAACAGATGACAAAGACGTTGGTCTGAGGGTATGAGAGTGTGCGAAGGCGGTCATACTCCTCCTGGCCCGCAGTGTCCCACAGGTTCAGGTTCACTGTGCGCCCATCAACTGCACTCTGTGCACTGTAATTGTCGAACACCGTGGGGATGTACTCCTTGGGAAAGGCATTGGTTGTGTAGCAGATCAGCAGGCACGTCTTGCCCACAGCCCCATCGCCCACCACCACACACTTGATGCTCTGCATCGTAGGTGCAGCTGCTGTAGTGGAGGCAGTGCCTCCTCCCTCTTCTGGGTCCCTCTGGATGCAGTGACCTGTGGACAGATGGAAGGGACACTCTTGGTTAGGGAGGCCACTACACTACCCATTGGGAAGAAAGGATGGAGGCACATAGAGGGAAACTGGCTTCTGTTCCCTTAAGCTGACACCATCCTGCAATCCAATCAAGACAGACATCACAGAGACAGAGACACAATGAGAAGCCCTGAGACCAAGCAAAGATGCTGTAAAGATGCAGTATAACATGGTGGCAAGCACATAAGCTCTGGTGCCAGAATAACTAAGGTCAGATCCTGGTTTTGCTATTTTCTAGCTGTGTGACCCTGGACAAATTACTTAACCTCTCCAAGTTTTCTTATCTGTAAAATTGGGTGGGGGGGTAGGCCAGGCGCAGTGGCTCATGCCTGTAATCCTAGCACTCTGGGAGGCCGAGGCGGGAGGATTGCCTGAGCTCAGGAGTTCGAGACCAGCCTGAGCAAGAGCAAGACCCCATCTCTACTATAAATAGAAAGAAATTAGCCAAACAACTGAAAAAAAATAGAAAAAATTAGCCAGGCATGGTGGTACGTGCCTGTAGTCCCAGCTACCCGGGAGGCCGAGGCAGGAGGATCGCTTGAGCCCAGGAGTTTGAGGTTGCTGTGAGCGAGGCTGATGCCACGGCACTCTAGCAGGGGCAACAGAGTGAGACTCTGTCTCAAAATAAATAAACAAATAAATAAATAAATGAATAAATAAAATAAAATAAAATTGGGGGGGTAAAGTAATACCCACCTCATCGGGTTATTGTGAGGATTATATAATACATGTAAAGCATTTAGAACAGTGCCTGGTTAGTATTAGCTATTTTTATTTTTCTCCAGGCAATATAGACACAGAAAGAAGGTATACAAGTTTAGTGATCTACCATATCCTCTACTAAATATGGACCCCTCTTACCAGGAGACTGAAAAGGGGTCTGGCACAGGGCAGCTTTCCCAGGTTATTCTGGGATACAGCTATGGGTAGAACCTCTCCTAACTAAGGGCCCACCCTGTGCAGTACACTGATGTTTCAACTTCTCTAAATCTGACATCTTGGCTACTGAGTGCGAAAAGGTACAGTAAGAAACCCACTGAATTAGGAGCACAATTCTTTAGACAGCTGCCCTATCCCAATACAGGGTGCTCTGGAGATAGGGAAAAGGGAAAGAGCTCACCCCATCATTCTTGTAAGCACGGAAAACCCTATCTGGCTACATACACTCAGATTGGCAACTCAGTGCAGGGGAATACTGGAGACTGAGCTGGGGCCAGGATTTGGACTGGAATCTGAGTATGTTATGATGAATGAGGTAGAGGCTGAGGCTCCCAGATGTTAGCATCTTTTCTCAAGGCCCTTGGTGGGGTGGGGCAGATCTTTTAAGCCCAGACAGAAGGGATGAACAGAAGAGCAAGACAAAAACTTGATTTTTCCCTCAATCTTCTGTCCCTTTCCTGAGACCATGGAATATGTTTCTGAAAAATTTCAGGGGCTTCCAGGCTCTTGGGTAGAGAACACAGTGCCATTAAAACACCATCACTAAGAACACAGATGCTGGAGTCAGACTGGCAGGATTCTAATCTTAGGTCTACCAACTATGTATGATCTTGACAATGTATGAGTTCCCTAAGCCTCGATTTCCTCATCTGTAAAATGGGGAGAATCTTGTCTATTGCATTAGAATTGCTCAGAATAGGAAATGAGTTAATATGTAGAAGGTGTTTGGCATGAGGCATGGCACATAGGAGGTGCCTAATAAATGGGCTGCTGTATTTATTAGTCAGGTGAATATGAGAGAAAGAGTCCCAGCTCCAGCCACCACTGTGGTCCCCTCTGCAGGTCAAGGGCCTTGGGGTAAGGAACTGCTTTTCTGAGTTCCGGAATAGGACAGAGCTTCCGGAAACCCTGTGATTATTTATACTGCTGTGGCAAGGGTCCTCCTCTCATGGGCTACTTCCTCTTGGCCATGGAGGACTCTTGCTGGCCAGTATGTGACTTCCTTTCCCTAACTCTCTCCCGTAACCTGGTCCTGCTCTCTGGGAGAGGGTAGCCCTCTTTTAGATACAATTAAATCCTTGAGTATCCCTGCCTCCACCAAAGTACTGTCACCACCGGCCCACTTTTTCCATTTCACTTTCCATACTGCAAGGCTACACCCTGGTCTGGGAATCCCTTCCCCCGAGCCTGACCTCATTGGTTCAGGCTCCTAATTGGTTTAAGAGCCTCAAAAATCAAAGATGGGCACGCCTGTAACCCTAGCACTCTGGGAGGCCAGGAGTTTCAGACCAGCCTGAGCAAGAGCGAGACCCCCCTCTCTACAAAAAATAGAAAAATTAGCTGGGTGTAGTTGCATGATCCTGTAGTCCCAGCTACTCAGGAGGCTGAGGCAGGAGGATTGCTTGAGCCCAGGAGTTGGAGGTTGCAGTGAGCCATGATGATGCCACTGTACTCTAGCCAGGGAGAGAGAACGAGACTTCATCTCAAAATTTAAAAAAAGATCCAAGATGGGCGTGGGGAAGAATCCTCCCACTGGGAAGCAGAA